GGGGGGGGGGGGGGGGGTCAATCACCCCCAAAACATCCCCCCATGGGGTCCCCAAGTCACCCGGTCCTTGGGGACTCTTGGGGACTCTTGGGGACACCTGAAGACCCTCAAGGACTCTTGGGGACACGTCCTGGTGGCATTGTCACCTCCTTGATCCCCCTCCATCCACCAGCGTGACACCCCCAGGAAGCCGTGAGGGCTGTGCAACCCGCCTTGGGGACACCTGGAGACCCTTGGGGACACTTGTTGACTCTTGAGGACACCTGAGGACCCTCAGGGACACATGGGGACACATCCTGGTGGCATTGGCACCTCCTTCATCCCCCTCCATCCACCAGCGTGACACCCCCAGGAAGCCGTGAGGGCTGTGCAACCCGCCTTGGGGACACTTGGGGACACCTGGAGACCCTTGAGGACACTTGTTGACTCTTGGGGACTCTTGGGGACACCTGGAGACCCTTGGGGACACCTGAGGACCCTCGGGGACACGTCCTGGTGGCATTGTCACCTCCTTGATCTCCCTCCATCCACCAGTGTGACACCCCCAGGAAGCCGTGAGGGCTGTGCAACCCGCCTTGGGGGGCACCTGAAGACCCTTGGGGACACCTGGAGACCCTTGGGGACACCTGAGGACACCTGGGGACCCTTGGGGACACCTCCTGGTGGCACTGCCACCTCCTTGATCCCCTTCTTCCCACCAGGGTGACACCCCCAGGAAGCTGTGAGGGTTGCGCAACCCGCCTTGGGGACACCTGAAAACCCTTGGGGACACCTGGAGACCCTTGGGGACCCTCGGGGACTCTTGAGGACACTTGGGGACACGTCCTGGTGGCATTGTCACCTCCTTGATCCCCCTCCCTCCACCAGCGTGACACCCCCAGGAAGCCATGAGGGGTGTGCAACCCGCTTTGGGGGGCACCTGGAGACCCTTGGGGACACCTGTTGACTCTTGAGGACACCTGAAGACCCTTGGGGACACTTGTTGACTCTTGGGGACCTTTGGGGACACCTGAAGACCCTCAAGGACTCTTGGGGACACATCCTGGTGGCATTGTCACCTCCTTGATCCCCCTCCATCCACCAGCGTGATGCCCCCAGGAAGCCATGAGGGTTGCGCAACCTGTCTTGGGGACCCTTGGGGACACTTGAGGACCCTCAGGGACACTTGGGGACACCTCGAGACCCTTGGGGACACGTCCTGGTGGCATTGTCACCTCCTTGATCCCACTCCATCCACCAGCGTGATACCCCCAGGAAGCCATGAGGGTTGCACAACCAGCCTTGGGGACCCTTGGGGACACTTGGTGACTCTTGGTGACTCTTGAGGACACCTGGAGACCCTTGGGGACACCTGGAGACCCTCAAAGACTCTTGGGGACACTTGGGGACACATCTTGGTGGCACTGTCACCTCCTTGATCCCCCTCCATCCACCAGCGTGACACCCCCAGGAAGCCATGAGGGCTGTGCAACCCGCCTTGGGGGGCACCTGAAGACCCTTGGGGACACTTGTTGACTCTTGGTGTCACCTGGAGACACCTAAAGACCCTCAAGGACACTTGGGGACACGCCGTGGTGGCATTGTCACCTCCTTGATCCCCTTCTTCCCACTAGTGTGACACCCCCAGGAAGCCGTGAGGGCTGCGCAACCCGCCTTGGGGGGCACCTGAAGACCCTTGGGGACACCTGGAGACCCTTGGGGACACCTGGAGACCCTTGGGGACATTTGGGGACAGCGGTGGCATTTGTCACCTCCTTGATGAGCTCGGACTGGCCGACGGTGTAGCTGTAGTTGGCGATGAGGGTGGCGATGCCCACGTAGGAGCGCACCAGCTCCGCCAGGAGGCGCAGGATGGTGGAGGTTGGCATCAAGGGTTTGGTGGCCTTGGGCCGTTGACGGTCGTCACCGCGGTCCCCGTCCTTCTCCTTCCGGCCCTCCCGGCCCTCCTCGGGGCTGGCCGCTGCGGGGACACAGGGGACAATGTCGGGGACAACGTTGAGGACACTTGGGGACATCAAGGGGGACACCGGGAGATGGCATCAGGGGCGTGGGGACACCAGGAGATACATGGGGACACCAGGAGATACTTAGGGACAGTGTTGGGGACAGTAGAAGACGCCATCAGGAGACAGTCTTGGGGGTGTGGGGACACCAGGGGACACCGGGGGACATTGGGGGACACTTGGGGACACCAGGGGATGGAATCAGGGATGTGGGGACACCGGGGGACACTTGGGGACACCAGGGGATGGCATCAGGGTGTGGGGACACCGGGGGACACTTGGGGACACCAGGGGATGGCATCAGGGTGTGGGGACACCGGGGGACACTTGGGGACACCAGGGGATGGCATCAGGGTGTGGGGACACCAGGGGACACTGGGGGACACCAGGGGACACTTGGGGACACCAGGAGATGGCATCAGGGGTGTGGGGACACCAGGGGACACTTGGGGACACCAGGAGATGGCATCAGGGGTGTGGGGACACCAGGAGATACTTGGGGACAGTGTTGGGGACAGTAGAAGACACCATCAGGAGACAGTCTTGGGGGTGTGGGGACACCAGGGGACACTTGGGGACACCAGGGGATGGCATCAGGGTGTGGGGACACCAGAGGACACTTGGGGACACCAGGGGACACTTGGGGACACCAGGAGATGGCATCAGGGGTGTGGGGACACCAGGAGATGGCGTTGGGGACACCAGGGAAGGCATCAGGGGTGTGGGGACAGCAGGGGACACTTGGGGACACCTGGGGATGGCATCAGGGGTGTGGGGACAGCAGGGGA